ACACACACACACACACACACACACACACACACACACACACACACACACACACACACACACACACACACACAGAGCTGTGGTGTGAGTGGTCACCTGCCCTCTTGATCACTTCCACTATGTTGGAGGGAAAGTAGCCCACTCGATCATTTCCTGTGCGGTTATCGTGAATGCAGCCTTTCCATCGGCCGTCAGAGTGCTGCTCCAGAACCTGCGCTCCAACACGGATYAAAACATGCTCACATTTTACTGACAATTACTGCAAAAACTAAACGAACTCGTCAAAAATACTATTTCAGCTAATGACAAACTAGCCCACTGAACATTTTGGGTTGAAAATATGTACAAAGGACAAAAAAATGTAGTTCCGTAGATGTCTACAGCAAGACATGGACATAAGATTGACATCTGCATTTACTGTAGCTAAAACTGGCAACAATAACTCTCACGCTGTCTATATGGAAGTTTGAACTCAAGAAATCCTTATTTTATCCTGCTAAGCAGCTGTAATTATATCCCCACGACTTTCTACAATCTGTGCGGTCCAGTTCACGTCGTCATTTGAAATGAAGGTCATGCTAGTTTTGTTTACAAATACAAAATGGACTTTGTTTTTCACAAAAATATGCTTTTAGTATTTTATCAGCGAATAGCCTGCAAAGTCCTATGACACGGTAAATAAAATCAGATTTAATGATATTATTACCACCTCAGTTCAAATGACTTTGTGTAAAACATAAATAAAAACAATGATTTGTATCATTTTCAATCTATAATTTAAAAGACATTTAATGTTCAAATGTATACATTTGATTGTTTTTTTGCAACTATTCACCCATTTTGAATTTGATGCAACACGTTTCAAAAGAGCTGGGACAGTTCACCACTGTGTTACATCACCTTTCCCTATTACTTTATATGAGTACATGAATATATAATGTGAATAAAGAATTTATAATTAACTAAAATGTGGCATTTGTTATTAACCAACACTCATCAATTAATCAACAAAAGCCTGAAATTTACTGTCATCTCAAATTTGACATTTTATTTAGTTACATTCCTTCTCCTCTCACATAAAGAGTTATACACTTTTATTTTCACGGGATTATGAACTGTACCGTGATAATGTCTCCAGCTTTAATGTTCAGGCTGGTGAGGTCGTAGTTGTTGCAGTAATCCTTCAGTGCTCGTACTTGCATCGCAGCAGAGGCATCTACAAAAAAAGATAATGAAAAAGGGTAAACAGACTCAAGGAGATCAACTATTTAAACTGTCATTAACGTGAACAGCACAAAGCACAAAAATGTGTTTTAATTATTAGCAGCAGTATTGTTTGTATGGCTTTAGTTAATTCAGTCAAGTAAATAAAAATAGTCCAGACAGTCTGTAAATGATCAGAGTAGTGAGTTAGAAATCTGCCTTTTTGTCAGCTTTACAAAAAAYAAAAAATAAATCAAATTAATGTCTAAACCAAATAGTCATGTTWAACAGCCTGGTTTGTAATCTATTTTAAAAAAATCAAGGTTTTCTTTGCTCACATTGCATTGAAATTAAACATAATTTSAAATTTGTTCTTGTTTGGACTAAATAAAAAAAAGACCTGCATTACATTAAACATAATGTGAGTGTGCACACTGATCATACACTCTGCTTATCAGGGTAAAACACTGGATTTAAAATATTTAGGTTCTGATGCGTATCAAATGTTCCTGGAGAGGATAATCTGGTTGCAGAGAACATTTTAAAAGGATCTGAGTGATAAATGTGTTTGAGCTGAYGGCCTCACCTCTCAGTAACTGTTTGATCTCTCGGCTGGCCTGTGTGGTGGTGAACTGGTTAACGATGTCCAGGGCGGTTTGGCTCAGAGTGTTTCTCACTCCTGCACTGATGCCACTCTGGGATGAAGCAGAGGGGTAAAAATACTTGTTTTATTTATTTAACCAGATGCATCCCATTGAGACGACATATCTCTTGTTTCATTGAGGCTTGGGCCTGATGCTTGTTTTTGACTGTGAACATACAAACGCCACACAGAAAGACCCCACCCATGAGTTTGAACCCATGATCTACTAAACCACAGCACTGTATGCCCGCCAAAAATCTGACCAACACTCCAGTATCAACATATTTCAGGGATGTGCTGCAAACAGATTCAGTTTCCATTATCACATCTTTAGGTTTCCACATTCAGACTTACATCCAGCAGCAGACGCACTACCTCCGTCTTCCCACAGAGGGCAGCCTGATGCAGAGCTGTGCCACACTCGGACTGCCTGTTGATATCTATACCAGCCTGAATCAGCAGCCTGCAACACAACACAACAGTGACGCTAACCTTTTCATATTCATTCATAAGATTATTGCTCCTAAGAAGCAGAAACGACAATAAAAGGAATGTGGATACTAAAAAAAAGCATTAGCATTTCTGCAGGTCCAACAGAAATAATCATTTGGTTTATCATTTTAACATAGTGTTTTCACATCTTCTTGATAGTGACTGTTTGTGACCTTTAAGATTTTGCTTTGTTTCATCTAAGCAGGCTGCAGGGATGTTTGTGTTTGATTTATTTTATTTTATTTTGACCACAGATAACAGTCTGCTGAGAGTTAGCACCCCCGCCTGAGAGGAAAATTAAATACAGAAATATGTTCTGCAGTTTCAAGCCATGTAAGAACACTTAAACCCAACTTAAAGAACCCCTTTGTTGGAAATCGAGTTTAGCAAACTTGTTTATTAGTAAATTGAGCAACTAGTTGTGTCAAACAGGATATTAAGTGTTTAATGCATCTCATCAGAGTTTATGTTTCAGCTATGAAGCAGAGCAGATAATTAGCAGTTTATTTTTTTCCCCACCAATGTTTATACAGTTAGTTTTTGTAGAAGCTAAAGCTGAGGACAAGAGTTGGACGGCAGTTCGGAGGTCTATGTGGACTGTAGCTCACAGTCTGTGGGTTTCTGTGTTGTGTAATGAGCTGCTGGCCTTGGTTCACTGTTTGTCTGTTTTCAGTCAAATTAAAATTCCCATCTGCAGCAGCAGGTATAAGAGAAGAACTCTGTTCCACTCATTTAAAGACAGCTAAACGAGTCACCAGCTACGGTCATTAAAGAGACAATGAAAAGCAAATTTCTAATTTGTTGTGTTCAGTCAAACCAAAGAACACAGACTGAATGAGGACAGAACTGCTGATGTTTTCGTGCTTAGTAAGAGGTAAGACATTTGCACTTTCGATGCTTAGAGCAACCAGGATGTGCCTGATTGTGATCACCAACAAAAATCAGGCAGCTAACTTCTATTACTAAAAGGTCAAACTATCACAACCTCTGCTTTCTGTTAGATTAGTGTTCTTGTACTTAAGTTGGAAGGAGTTTTTGTTTTACCTACACTGCAAAAAGTGTTCATCTAACCAATTCTCTTATATCCAGCCAAAAAGTATTTTCAATCTTGTTTTGAGACTGTTATACTAAGCAAGAGCAAAATATGTTAGATTATTAATCTTGTTAGCCTGAAAGTGCAATTGTTTTATTGCACTGGCAGATTATTTCACTTAATTTGAGAAGATTTAGACTACTACTGTTTTTATTTTTTGATGGCTAATATGTGCAGTGTACCAGTTTGGCTCTTGTCTCTGCACCTGCCCTGCCTACTCACACCTGATCCCTGTTGTCCCTTCACAGGTGTTGGTTATCATGGTTCATTAAGGTTGGGCTTTATATTCCCTGTTGGTTCGTCTGATTGGTGTACGCTATAAGTGCATCTGTGCTCGTGTTAATCACCCTCAGTTTGCTTTGACATTTTTTTTCTTTTTGGTAAATAAATCAGCTTTTGCTTTTGAATATTCGAGTCTGTGTTTTGGTTCTTAAGCTACCTTTAACCACGAAACAAGCACCAAAACCACATGGGATCTTGAACGTTGTTTCCCATTGTTTACGTTCTACTTTATGCAACACATTGTATTTCCACAGTGAAATGCATGATAATACAGCATAATGACAGACGGGTAGATGAGAAAAAGGCAGGCGGAGGGAGTGAGCTCTAAAAGGGAGCTTGTTCTGACCGTATGACTTCTATGTGTCCATTCTTCGCCGCAAGGTGCAGCGGTGACACTCCGTTCGGGTCCGAGGGTTTGGGTTCCAGCATGGCTGCACACATGTTACTGCTGAGCAGAAGCTGGACCACCTGAACACAGAGACACAGACAAGAATCACTGATAGATTGAAGCAAAAATATTACTGAAATATTCATGAATCATGGAATAAATGACTGTATTATAGGAACACTTTGACTGACTTGAACAAGATGCACAATGTGATTGCAATATTATTCTGCTCTGCTGAAATAAAGCCACATTTTTCATCATGATTCTCACAAAACAATGTGTTTTAGCATCTAAATCAGGAGTGAACTTCATGGACAAAAAAACTAACTCAAACATATACCTTTTTTTACAGAGTGAGATTGCTTGGCAATTAGAATCAAATATATGTTTCTGTTACAAATTTTCCTATATATTATAGTGGGAACCCTCAGCCTGGATGTGCGGTTCTTGATACTTTGCAGGTGAAACAAAAGTGTGATGTACTCACGCCAACGCGTCCAAATTCACAAGCGAGGTCCAGCGGAGTTTTGCCAGCTGAGTCTGAGATGCACGGGTTGGACTGGTGTTGTAGCAACATCTCAGACTGAAACACACACACACAAAACTCACTGGTGCGTCTGATCGTCTCCTCATCTAACAACAAATATTTCATGCATGGATCATCAAGTCTGCATAACAGACACACACACACACACACACACACCTCACAAACACACACACACACACAGAGTTACCCCATCGTAGTGTCCGTGCTGAGCTGACAGGTGCAGAGGGATCTGTCCTTCATCTGACTGTCCGTTGACTGACGAGCCTGCTTTCAGCAGCATTTTCATTGGTTCAGTCTTCCCCTGCCATGCAGCATAATGCAGGGGACGCATTCCTACACAAACACACACACACACACACACATACAGACAAACACACACAGAAAACAGAGGCAGAAAAGACAGCACAACACAGAGACATACAAGAGCCAACAAGCACATGCAAACAGACACAAAAATAATCATATGAGCATGCAAACACAATTAATCAATATGCAGCTAGACATGTAGCAAGTCTTAAAAATACATATTACTTTTGCCACAGTATATATATATGTATGTATGTATGTATATA